TTAAACCTAAAAACTGATTAAATTCTACTGAATTGATCAAGTTCTACGTACGCTCAATCGATAGTTTCCACTCGAATTGTATAATAAAAGTGCTTTTATTTTTTTTTTTACGTGCCCTACGAGATATTGCGACGCAAAATTCCGATGTGAAACTTTTTAAGATACGTCGTCGTTATTGTCATTATGTTCATGTTCATCGTCCAGCTAGACTGTATTGTTGGATGTTTTGGTGCGAGAGTGCGCTAGTGTATTAGTGCAAGAAGCGCTAGCGGTGCATGAAACGAAATTATACACTGGTATAATAATGAAAAGCGATTTATTCGTCAACGATCTTTTTTTATATATTATAATTAATATTTAACAAAAGGAGATCGAACGGAAATGAAATTATACATTATATTTGTTGACTAAGCCAGAGTATGATAATGACAAAGCGATTTATTCGACCTCGATCTTCATTTGTTTATAACTTAATTTTGTTTTATATTATTATAAAATAATGAATATAACAAGTAATAAATTAAAATCGAAATAAAGATACACATAAAATTTATATAAAGATATAGGTACTTAAGATTTCGGCTCTCTTCAAATTTCGTGCACACACAAACACTTGAAAATCTATTTCTTGAAATCAATTATAAGATAAACTGTTTACGTGAAGATGTTTATCATTACAAAATGCGTGATATCAGTACAAACTTACTTTTTTAAAAAAGGTAAAAAAAGGCTCTAAGAATATACGTGCTTCTCGAATAAAACCTAAGTGTCCAACCCAAGTAATAGTAGTTCTAATTCTTCTTCAAGGATATTCTTATTGAAAGTCTTCTTATTCCAACCCAAGTAATGGCAGCTTTAATTCTGTCAAAAATTATTACTCCTCGAAGAAAACTAATGTATGAAATGAAAAATTAAAATCCAAATGATATAGTCTTAACTAACCAAGTTAAATTCTATGAAATTAAAAAGTAAAACCCAAGTGGTACTATCTTTGTTATTCACTTAACTCTAATGATATGCATCATTCATATAAAAGATTGATATCAACAACTAGCGTCAAGTTAAATTCTATACCAAATTAAATAAAGAATATAATCCAAGTGGTACTTTTTTAATTTTTTCTATGAAACCTAAGTATATATAGTAATATTTGTATTCCTGAAGGATCTTCCTATTCAGATCCAAATGGCTTTAATTCTCCTTGTATAAAATTTTTATATCGCAATTCATTCAAAGACATTTTCTCTTCCAACCAAAGTAGTAGTTATTTAATTCTTTTTCAAAATGTTATCACAAAATTGCGTTACATCGTAACGCCATTTCCATTCAAGTATTACCACAAAAAGTTAAAGAAATAAACACTTAGCGCGGCTAGATCGAATAATAAAAACTATAAATACAATTAAAAAATATAATAATAGTTAATAAAAATAAATTATATAAGATAATTATAATTTTAATATAATAATGAATTTAATCTGAATGCTACACTGAATAAAACTAAAGTTTACTGTTTTTTTTTTTTCCCCATAACGTATTTCTTATAAGTCCAAGTTTATTTATCTTGGACTTAAATCTAACAGCTTGCACAACTTTCGTAACTTATACGATTGTTTAACTCAATCGCATAACCCACGCTGAATACTTTTACTGTCATAGGAATGTTTCTTATTTTTCTTATTTTAAACATTACATTCATGTTTTTAGTACTATGTTATATATTATATAGTGATTGAGCAGCGTCAAGTGTTTACTTCTGTAACTTTTTGTGATAACACTTTAATAGACAAGGTAACACAATGTTGTGATAATGTTTTGAAAAAGAATTAAAAATAACTACTACTTTGATTGGAAGAGAAAACGCAATTCTTTGAATGAATTGCGATACAAAAATTTTGTATAAGAAGAATTAAAACCATTTGGATCTGAATAGAAAGATTCTTCAATAGAAATACAAATATTACTATATATATTTTTTTAGGTTTCATTGTATAAAAATTAAAGATAGTACCACACTTGGATTATATTCTTTATTTAATTTGGTATGGAATTTAACTTGATGTCAATTGTTGATACCAAATCTTTTATACGAATGATGCATATCATTAGAGTTAAGTAAATAACAAAGATAGTACCACTTGGGTTTTACTTTTTAATTTTATAGAATTTAACTTGGTTAAGACTGTACCATTTGGATTTTAATTTTTCATTTGGTATATTAGTTTTTTCGAGGAGTAATAATTTTTTATATAGAATTAAAGCTGTCATTACTTGAGTTGGAACAAGAAGACTTTTAATAAGAATATTCTTGAAGAAGAAATAAACTACTATTACTTGGGTTAGATACTTGGCTGTGTTCCGTTTCATGATGCATATCATGCATCTTTTATCCTTGTTATTCACCGAATGTTAAACAAGGATAAATGATGCATTATGCACATCATGCATGAAACGGGATGCAGCCTTAGGTTTCGAGAAACACGTATATTCTTAGCGCTTTTTTTTTACCTTTTTTAAAAAGTTTGTACTGATAACACAAGTAACGATAATATCACACATATTCGCATGTTCGTACATATCGATAACATTATAGCTTAAAAAAAATTGTAATTTAAATTACAATAAATTTAATAAGCGCTCTGAAATGGGACAAATTTAGGAATTTAAAGAAAAGCTGTAATTTCAATAAATTTTGTTAGTATTTTTTTGAAGGTTCAGAATAATGCTACAAGAATTCTACCAAAAAGTATTAAAATTTAAATCGCTTTTGCTTGAAATAGAAAAGTTATGATTAATTTTCGTATCGCGAAAACATGAAGTTGGCATCCTATATCTTCAAATCTTTATTTTTCTATATTTAATCGTCAGAACGCTTTTCAAAACGTATCAGAAGCTTTAGAACTTTTTGGGGAAGCGGCAGAATTCTGTTAGTTACATCGAAATTTTGAAAATGGGGTGCCAACTTCGTAGATGTTGGATGCACTACTACTGGCTAATGTAACATGTAACAGTACACAATTCAACGTATGTATGTATGTATGTAATGTATACTTGCATTGGTGTCTGTCTTGCTCCACATACGTGCATGAATTCTATTTAACAACATATTTTTCGGAACCATGTATTTGAGTCTAGTGTACAGTATAGAAGTTTATGATAAATTTTCTCCAACATTCTTCGCATTATATTTCTTACGCATTATATTCTCTTCGCATTATATAACTTACACGTCGATATTGGACTAATATTGAACTAATCTTTGGCAAGCCTTGTAGAAGTCTCGCTTGTTGGGTTTTGGTTGAAAGGATCAAAATTATGATGGAGGTTACAATCAAGATTCAAATAATAAATGTCTCACATTTTTAGAGAAGAAGAAGCGCGTTTACGACCAGTATGGCAAGGACGGCCTTCAAATGCCCGGAGGCAAACGACGCCACGGAGATGATTTTGATTCGCACTTCGGAGGCGCGTTTGTTTTTAGGGATCCTGAAGAAGTATTTAGAGAATTTTTCGATGGAATACCATTCGAAGATTTGTTTGCCGGTAAGATACAAATACATCTAGATAGAAAATACGATTAAGTTATCAAAAGGCAAACGTTGCAAATATCGAATTTTGCAGGTTTTCATGGTGGAGGTTCTCGGAGAGGTGTTGGAGGAAGACACGATCATTCAACCAGTAATAGTCTGAGTACTTCTTTCTTCGGGCCCTTCGGATTTGGCTTTCGTTTGCCGTTTAATGATTTAGTGGAAAACGCTGGTGCTGCAGGAAACTTTACTTCTTTCGGTACTTTCACTAGTTTCGATGGAACGAGCGGTGGCACTGCCGTAAAACGTACCAGCACCTCAACTCGTTTCATCGATGGAAAAAAAATTACGACCAAAAAGTAAAAAGAATCTCGTATATATCTCACACACGCATCATGCACGCACACACGCGCGCGCGCGCACATACACCCACATCCCTACCGTGTGTTCTACTATGTAAGATTCAACCCTCGTTATATCTCTTATAATTATATTTTTTTTCTCATGTCTTTTACAGAGTCTACGAAAATGGGAAAGAAACCATAATGTCTTATGAAAATGATATTCTGAAATCAAAGACAGTGAACGGCGTACCACAATCAATAACGTACAGTTAAAACACATCTCACTCGCACGATCTCTCCTTGGCAATTGAGAAATTCCTGTCGTCACGATTTAAACATCTGTAAACAAGTATCTAGAATCCGCGTTGGTATCTCTCGACACAGTTGCTTCCCTCGCAGAGTCATTTCCATTGAAAACGTAACATCAGTCGACATGCTCCTTAACGCGCGTTATTCGCCGAAATTGACAATCAATGATAGTGAGATAGGCTCTCTAAGCCCGAGTGATCGGAGCGTTAATAATTGGAATTTACATAAAAACAAGAGCGAATTACTTTTTACACGAGATTTAGTTTTCTGTCATCTCGTTTGTTTGTATGTTAGGTTCGACGATGCATCGACGAGTCATCAAGTCTGCGAAAACATCAACGATAACACGATGGATAACCACAACTCGAATACGACCTATGGCGACTATGTAAAAGCTAGCAGAGTAAAGACGCGTCATCATCCGCACATGAATAAGAAGCACGATAGAAATAAAAGGAAATAAATTTCTTCGCTCTTGTCTCAAGTTCCTCATGTATTCAAGTCGACGAGTGTGCGCTCCTGATATACTCGACTTAAGATTTAATTCCGGATAAATTTTAGTTTTCGATACACACTATACTACTATTCTCCATTCATTATTACTTGACAAAAATTCATAAATTGATGAACCAAAAAATGTTAATCTGTGTAAGAATTAAGAGAGAAAGTAACCTGTAATGATTACACGACTGGCTTGACATATCCACGCGGTTCGTATAATAAAGTTCATTAAAAAGAAAGCTATTTGAATTTAATTAGTTATTCGCGATAGTATATCTCTTGCGCCGCAAATTGAGACTAATTTACAAGTAACATCTTCCTCGTCTCTACCTAGTTGTATGACATAACCGATGCCATTCGCTAACTTAAACTTCGATTATCGTTAGGTTACAAAACTGATGCAAAATCTTATAATTTCTCAGGTAAATATTTACGGCAAGTCAGCACTTTCAAAAATCAATGATCTTGATATATGTTTTCAAGGTCATGATCCTGAGTAACCTTCAACAAATTTTAGTCGTTGCTCGTTGTTTGTAGCCTAAAATCTGTTGGAAGTCACTCACAGGGCCATGATCTTGACAACATATATCAAGGTCATTGATTTTTGAAGATGCTGACTTTTTGTAAATATTTACCATTTCTCAAAATGATAAAAATACCTATAAATGTATCTCGTATCGATTTATAGCATAATTTATTTTCATCGCTGTGTATTTTTATTGTCGTTGGCTCTAGCGTTATTTACTGATTTAAGTTTTAGCTAAATATGCGCTAAATGTGCACCGTTGAAAAACTGTTAGAAAAATCGTTTTCGATCGTATCTCCTTCGATTATAGCTATTTACACATGTGTATATAATGATAAGAAAAAAAGATGTTATAAAAATACATTATTAATATACACTAATTATCTCGAGTATAAAGCAAAATATGAAATTTCGGTATGGGACTACCGTAAACGGCAGAGATCAAATTTGAAAAACTATTTGAAAAAAAGGAAATTAATTACGACAGACATATGCGACAAATAGTTTTATGCTAATTGCAGTAAATCATTGGATACAAAATTCACATAAATCAGTGGAATTAAATAAAATCAGTATTTACTGTATCTATACATGATCATTTGCATATGTGCTTGTATAATAAAATTCTGGGTGTTTCTCATCGATAGTGAAAAAGTTTTATAATCGATCGAATGAAATCACAAATTCGTGTGTACGTATACGCGCGACAATGAGAATCCACTACTTCTTTCCGATCGAAGCGATTAATGCTTCCACTTTAGTGATGTATTGCTCTTTCGCCGTTTCTTGTCCCATACTTTTTTTACCGTTCCAAGCGTCCCATTTCGCTTTTCCTTTGAAATCCAACATACCCGGTCTCTCTAAAAAAGATTTACACGAATCACGACAATTACACATAAGTGTGCGTAACAAATAATGAACTGCACGCAAAAATTTGTGACAACATACCTGTATTACAGTCGCCAATGGTAGATTGCTTGTATAATGCATACAATTCGAGTAAATCTTCATCTTCTGGTTGCGCAGCCAATTTCTTTACCGCTATGGCCGCATCATTAAATCTCTAAGAATAGAAACGTGTTTTTACGATTACTTAATAATAAGGAATTATTTTTCGTGTTATTTGATAAATTGTTATTAAATTCAATAGAAATCATAAGCAATTTGGATGATTTAATTTATCAATACCGAGTAACATATACCAATGATATAATTTGACATAAATTTCAAGTAAAATATTTTAACAAATTTTTGTTTTTTATTTGCATCATAATTAGGATTATTAATATTCCATTAACAGTTAAATTAAGTATTTCAGTGAATCGATTAAACTGTTAGCACTCGGTGTCTTTTCTCGATTTTTAAGTCACTTTATCCTTTTTCGCGCACCTGTTGATTTTCTTTCTATTTCTCATTGCAGCAAACGTCATGTATTTATTTCAATGGAATTTACATTAGAAACAGTATCGCAGCGTATGTATAGAACGTATAATATGTATTAGAATTGTAACTACGATTTGTAACATTCGAATTCTTTTCATTGAATTATCCTATTATTCAAATTTGGATGTCGAATAATTTGAATCTTGATGTGCAAAGAGTCGGATCTTATAATTTGTGAGAAACAAAACGAAAGACCAATTGCTAAGTTAGCTAGAATTATTTAACCATTTTTCATCTACTGAAAATATTCTTTATGTGGAAAATATCCACATAAAGTTATAATTAAAATAGACTGTCACTTGAGCTAATTTCTGTAATTGATTCTTTTATTAAAAACGTTATCCCAGCAAACACAAATATATAACTTATATTGCTTCCATATAACGGAATGTAACAGATAATATAATGTGTGTAACATCTATGTCCACGTTAGTTGTAATTTCCCACTCATGAATCATTGCAGCTATATATAATATAAATATAACATGTAACTTAAATTAATGTTATATAATAGTCATATAACAGTTGTATAATTTGCTGCGTTATTGTTATAAAACTAGAATGTGATTGTTACGTTGCTGTACATTATCCTAACTTAATTTAATGCCTTTTATACATATCACTTCCAGAAAAGAACTTGGGATTGATTCTAAAGCAAAAACAAATGGAACAGTTTGCTTTCGCTTAGAATTAATTTAAAGATCTTTTTTTGCGATTAGTATGTGCAAAATACACTCCCTGAAAATTGTGTTTGCATGGTATAAGAGACATGTAATAATTGATTTTAATTCATTTATTTATAAACTTCATAGTTTGCACATAAATACATATATATTTATAAATATCATTACTGAGTATTCAGAGTATTTAATCGTAATATTCATATATTATACTTTTATGGTAATTGTTGAGTTTAGCCTCCTCACTTCCGATGTTGATAAAATTAGGTTCGTTCGATGCATTTTTGTGCATTATGAAATGAACGAATCTGGTAGAAAAACGTATCGCTTTGTCCCGCGAACCGAGGTATTAATTGTTAAAATTGACAGATATTCAGGTTAGGAGATCTGTCACATCGATAGCATTGAGGATTACACAAATTCTTTTGTTTTATAAACACAAATTCTTTCCTTTAAAAACAAATTCTCTGCTTTAAAAATACAAATTTTCTGCTTTAAAAAGGAGAGCGTTTTTTTAATGAATTTTGACTTCTTGGATATAATAATGTTAATAAAAAATTCGAGGCTGATAGGGAACACCTCGAAAATTAAGCGCAAACGTGATGTATTGTATTTAATAAATAAATAAAACAAATATAAAAAAAATCAAGGATAACGGTGCAGCCACAATAGAAGGAATAAGGAATTAGGAATAACGATTTCAACCTATCAGAAACCGTGTATATTCTGATGTATCCGATTTCTGATAAGTTGAAATCGTTATTCCTAATTTCTTATTCTTTCTATTGTGGCTGTACCTTAATACCGTAGGGACATATATACTGAACGTAGAATGTAAATCTCTACTCAATAGAAACGTATTTACACATTCTTAGGCCGGAATCAGACTACGCATTGAAGATTGAGGTTGAAGATTGAAGATTGAAATTTGACCAATAAGGACAAAGAAATTTTAGCTGCTTTCGTTTCGATTGGTCAAATTTGAATTTTTCAATCTTCAACCTCAATCTTCAATGCGTAGTCTGATTCCGGCCTTACGCAGACGTATATGCAGACAGTAAAAGAATCAATCTCTAATCAAATTTATCGCAAAAACAAATTGACTAGAGAATCTTCTAATGCGAAAACTAGTTAACCAGAAATCACAATCCGTTCTACTTAAAATTCAGTCGATACGTATTGGTATGTACAGGTATCTACAGGCCAAAGACATAGAGAATGGACTGTGCGATCCGTATCTGAGTAGTGTTTCAAATGTGGTCGACAATAATGAGAGAAAGAGAGAGAGAGAGAGAGAGAGAGAGAGAGACCAATGAAAGACGGCTGACGGCCAATCTCCCTCTCATTGGCTGCGTTCAGCAGACTCAACAGTTTTGCAACCGTTTTATGATTGTCTGCTGAGATAGGACCATTCTTCTAGAACTAAAAGTATGATCCAATTAGCGCGAAGGAAACTTCCAACAGTTGCAAAACGAACGTTCTGCTGAACGCAGCCATTCTCTCTCCCATTATACCGTTGAATGGAAAGAGATACAGATTGATCGTCTTCCACGGTCCCTCTCTCTTACTTTTATCGACCATTTTGACCACGGATCACGCAGTCCATTCTCTATGTATGTACATACATACGGAATTCATAGACGTTGCTCGAGACTCGAGATGGTCTTAAGCATGGTGGAAATACGTAAGGTGAGCTATTCCCGTGGATGCGCAGTAGGAGAATGAGTTTGGACAACATTTGATTGGCTATTCCAGTATATAACCAGCGCTATTATACATCAGAAAGTACATGTTGGAACACATTTGATTGGTTATTTCCAGTAATTGCTACCGCCATTATGCGCAATAGCTCACCTTACATATTTCCACCATGGTCTTAAGCTAGTACTTGAACCAATCAGAGAGCCGTATTAGCATCTTAAGACGTTGCTTGAAGCTGGTTCTACACTAATCGCATCGTAGCGTCGCAAGCGTTGCGGTCCAATCAACATCAATCTAGCTCTCACTCTGATTGGACCACAACGCTTGTGACACGCTTGCGACGCTGCGATGCGACTAATGTAGAATCAGCTTGAGGCCGGAATCAGACTACGCATTGAAGATTGAAGATTAAAATTTGACCAGTGAGGACAAAGGAATTTTAGCTCCTATTGTTTCGATTGGTCAAATTTCAATCTTTTAATCTTCAATCTCAATATTCAATGCGTATAGTCTGATTCCGGCCTGAGATTAAGACCGAACTATGGATTCCGGCCTTTGTCTTTGGTATGTAACTACAAGCTATCTCTCCACGTGGCACAAGTATTGTTTGACGACACGACGAGTATAATGACCACGAATAAAATCGATAACGATCGATAGAATCAATTTATCGATTCATCGCCGCCATTTGTAGGGCAGATATCCAGTTTCTAGTCTTTAAAGGTATCTATCATGGACCTAAGAATCTGTGGACGGAGCGTAAAGTGAGTTCATAGGCAAGGGGGTTGACGAATTTACGGTAAGGGGAGTGAGAGCGCTCTCCTTTTCTATCCGCTTAGCGTCTTTTTCTACAAGAAGACCCCATCGGCTGGGTAACGAAATTAACCGAAGACGTTCGAAGACGTCCGAAGGAGACGCGTATGCACGCACGCACGCACACGCACACATTCCGTACTTTAAGGTTAGCGAATATCTAGTCTTTCGGGAATCATCGGGTAACCGATAATTCCCGAAAGTATGACGGAAACACCCGATGGGGTCCTATCCTAGAAAGAGATAGCGCTACACTCCCCTTACCGCGGATTAAACACCCGAAATGCCTAGTGCTCCGTCCATAGATTCTTAGGTCCATGGTATCTATGGCTACGTTTACACTGGCTACGTTTACACCGTACGTTTAGTCCGCGACCTATACGATAGGTGTCTTTATTTAATATACAGGATAAACAAGGACGTCTATTGTATAGGCCGCGGCCTAAATGCACGGTGTAAACGTAGCCACTGTGCGCTTAGTCCGCGACCTATACGATAGATGTCTTTGTTTAACTTACAGGATAAACAAGGACACGTATTGTATAGGCCGCGGCCTAAATGCACGGTGTAAACGTAGCCTATGGAAGAACAGATCCGAGCGCGCCTGTCGGAGAAAACTGTCAACTTAGAGAATATGACAAATCTTTTTCGGTAATTATTTAGATTACGGCCCCCCCCCCCCTCCCTAAAATCTTAATAAAAATGTACTCATTCGACGCGTTTTCATCTAAAATAAAACAATCCGGCAAAAAAAACTCGGCGGTCGGCCTCGTGAATCGAGTTATTAAGCGTTAAATTTCGAGACTTTAGAGGTTAAGATATCCGTTATTTCGACTCGATACGTATATACATTCTGCAATAATTACACAAACTCTTTGCTTTACAAACGCAAATTCAGTGCTTTAAAAACACAAATTTACTGCTAATGCAAAGAATTTGTGTGCTTAATAACTCGATTCACGAGGCCGACCGTCGCGTTTTTCTGCCTTTAAAACAGTGAATTTGTGTTTGTAAAGCAAGAGAATTTGTGTAATTAAAGCAGAAAGTATACATAACACAGTGAGTCGTTTCATCCTTGTTTAACATTGGCAAACAACAAGGACGAAACAACTCATTGTATTACAGTGTCTGACTGTAGGTGCGTTCAGCAGAACGTTCGTTTTGCAACTGTTGGAAGTTTCCTTCGCGCTGATTGGATCATACTTTTAGATCTAGAAGAATGGTCCTATCTCAGCAGACAATCATAAAACGGTTGCAAAACTGTTGAGTCTGCTGAACGCAGCCTGTGTCCTTGCTGGAAAGCACTCTGTATCGAGTTGGGACGACAGATATCTCAACCTCTAAAGTCTCAAAGACCGACTGCCGCGTTTTTTGTTAGGTTCTTTCGTTTTGAGCGAAAACGCTTCAAATGAGTACACTTTTATTAAGATTCTGGGGGGAGGGACTCATATTTTAAATAATTACCTATTTTTCCTCTCATTTTTCTGTAATTTTGTAAATTGTTCATTTTCATACATAGAATGGGTGCGTTCAGCAGAACGTTTGTTTTGCAACTGTTGTAAGTTTCCTTCGCGCTAATTGGATCATACTTTTAGATCTAGAAGAATGGTCCTATCTCAGCAGACAATCATAAAACGGTTGCAAAATTGTTGAGTCTGCTGAACGCAGCCAATGTATTTTGAGAAGGCTAGTTGTCACTCAAGTTAAAAAACGATGATTTATGACTATGCGTGCATGTATGTCTTTTTCAATAAATATTAATACATTTACTTTTTAATCTAAAATAAAATAAAATAAAATTTTTGTACAAATTGGAATTTCTTTAAAAATAATCTCATTAAAAATAAAACGTGCATACATGTGTATTCCGTACGCGTTATCGTATAGTATATACTACCAACTTTTGCTGCAATGATACTCAAATGTTTCAAATCACATCATCGTGATTTTCCATGTGTCTTCCTAAGCCATGTTTCAAGCCCACTTTTGATCTCTTATTAATCGGTGAATCGATCTCACACACACGTACGCGCGCGTAAACACACACTCTCTCTCTCTATCTCTCTCTCTCTCTATATATATATATATACATACATATATTACGTTTTGTGTACTGCCGATGTGTTAAAAAAATAATTAAAACATCACTAATCTCAGCAATCAAAGTAACTAACCGCCAAACGTGTTCTAAATTAACTCTCTGAAGAGGGGAAGGCGGATTACAGTATGACACGTTCCATTTTCACGAGTAATTATTCAAATTATTAAATAATTTTATCAAAATAAAGTTTGTTCATCGTCCTTACTTCGTCCAATGACATAATGAAATATTAGTTCCGGAGTTTTAGACACCAAATTATGTTGACCGTGAACGTAGAGAAAGAATCGTATGTGAGGTTACGACGACACTCTTGACTACGTAAGTACATACGTATATACATATGTATATGTAATATGTATGTATGTACATACGTACACCCACGGTCATCGATTCTGTCCCTTGGAATTTTCACAAACTGAGAAGTGATCATCTTTCTACATTAATGCCCACAATCCACGTACGATTAACGACATGATTAAATGCAACTTGAAGCTTAAATTACATCCGTTTACAACCACATTTGATATAAAGTTAAAAACATATAAGAGTACTATATGAATTCAAAAATATTTATGTAAAGTTACACATTGAAATGCAGACATTAATTGTACACTAAATAAACAAAATATTTATTTGTTATAAACTAATTGGTAAATCTCAATAAAACTTTGCATAAGTCATGTTTAGTACTTAATATATTTATATTTAAAAAATTTTTGTTTATATAACAATAAAACTAATAATAAATAAAATAAATAATCTATAAAAATG